AGCTAAGGCTGGAGGGCGGCAGGTCCCCATCCCAGGCGTTCCTCCGCTTCCGGGCCAGGCGGCGGACTGCAGAGAATGAGATGGCATGAGGCCCAGCCGTCAGCACCCTGTCCGACCTGCTCCTGCCCAGGACTCACAGCTGAACACCAGCCCTCTGCCTGCCAAACTCGTCACGGAGACCTTTCCCGGGAAAACCCCAGACTGCAGGCCCAGACTCAGCTGGTCCTGGAGGTAGGCCACTGCCCTGGAGCTGGGAAGTCCAGAGATCTAGTTCCCAGCCATGCCCTGCAGCCTCAGGAGGGGCCCAGAGGCAGAAGCACTTTCTGGACACTTGGACCCTGCTGCCAACAGGGAGGGATGGGCTTGCAGGAACCCCAACTCACTCTCCTGCAGGCAGGCCTGGAGGCGCGGCTGCCCCACATCCTCCTCCCGGCCGTTCAGCCAAACCCGGTCCTTGGTGAAGTCCTTGCTGATGGCGGCCGTTGTGGTGGTTTTTAACTGAAAAGGAAACCCGGGACCACCTCAGAGGCCAGCACTGAGGACCGATGCCAGCCAGGTGCCCCCTTCTGCTGAGACGGCCTCGTGGCTGCCCACTGGAGCAAAAAAGGCCTTAGCTGGGCTGCGGGGAAGCCCGTGGGAGCTGAAAGCACAGCCCATGCGCTGTGTAGCAACCAAGCCTCATCCTGAAGGGACAGGGACTCCCAAAGGAGCCCCTGGGGCATGGTGTGCACATGTGTGAGGAGACCTGGGGCAGGTGTGTGCTGTGCTGTGGGAAGCTCTCCTAACACTGAACAGCCGCTGTGTGCTGGCTGGGAGTGGTTGCTAAGCCATCATCCTAGCCTTTAGGTAAAAAGGTACCAACTGCTTTGTTTTGTTTCAGAGACAAGCTCTCACTCTGTCACCCAGGCTGGAGCAGTGGCACAATCCTAGTTCACTGTGGCCTCCAACTCCTGGGCTCAAGAGATCCTCCCACATCAGCCTCCCAAAATGCTGGGATTGCAGAGGTGAGCCCCCAAGCCCGGCTGGTACCAGTCCACACTTACCTGGTCCTGGTGCAGAGTGACGCTGAGGGAGGAGTTGATGGGCAGGACCAGCTCTTCATCACGCTTGCCCCCTGCAGTGAACAGCCATGGCCAGGCCGGTGGGCTTCCTGGCCCACCCTCCTGCAGCATTCCCCCACAGCTGTGCCCACCAGTGACCCACGGCTGCCATCTGCCTCCATCCTGTCTCTCACTGCACAACCTGCCTGGCCCTCCTCCTGCTAGACCCTTGCCCCCAAGAACGCCCCACTGAGCTCAGGCTCCCAAAGCAGAGCTGGAGGCCAGCCAACATCCTCTGCACCCCACCTCCTGCGAGTGCACAGATGCAGAGCACTCCCACCAACGCCTGCCTCCCCTCCATCTTCCCAAATGAAAGGAGCCCTGCTCCTGTTAATGCCCAAATCTCGCTGCTCAAATTCTCCGGGAACCTTCTGCCCAGCCAGGCATGGGACAGCAAATGAAATCAACCTTCTGGAAAGCTAGAAACGAAAGGTTTGCCCGGGAGCGCCGCGCAGTGCCTCTGCTGAAGCCTCATTTGACAAGGTCCCTGTAAGCACACAATCTGCTAGGATTTGTGGAGGGAGGTCTCTGGGGATGGCGGACCCCTGGCAGAGAACCGCGCCTAAAGTTCGCAAGGCTCTTTGACACACAGCACTAAGCGGCCTCCTTGCAGGCGGACACGGCTGCCCTGGTAGGCCAGGCGGACTCCTGCTTTCAGGAAGGTGGGCTGGGGGACTTCTCTCTCTTCCTCCCACTCAGGACAACTAAGATCCTGGATGTCACAGGTGAGACTCTTGCGGGTGACAGAAAGCAGCTGTTGAGAGTTCAGGGGGAGGCCCTGGGTTTTCTTTCCTGCCTGCCCTAGACCTAGTTCTGCAGAAGCTGCACCTGCCAACCAAAGCCAGCCTTCTCTAGCAGGGTCAGGAAGGCCAGCCTAGCAACACAGAACCAGAATCCTGGCCAGTGTGGTGACTCACGCCTGGAATCCCAGCACTTTGGGAGGCCGAGGTGGGTGGATGAGTTGAGGTTGGGAGTTCGAGACCAACCTGACTAATATGGTGAAACCCCGTCTCTCCTAAAAATATAAAAATTAGCTGGGCTGGAGTGACACGCCTGTTATCGCAGCTACTCAGGAGGCTGAGGGGGGAGAATTGCTTGAACCTGGGAGGCGGAGGTTGCAGTCAGCCGAGATCGCACCACTGCACTCCAGCCTGACTCCAGCATGGGTGACAGAGGGAGACCTCGTCAAAAAAAAAAAAAAAAAAAAAAAAGAAAGAAAAAAAGAAAAGAAACTCCTCCCACACTCCAGGCTGGAAGAGGTGCTCCACCGCTTCCCCTCCCTGAAGGAGCAGGGACTTTCACCTCCCCAGGAAGGACAGCATGCAGGAGCCTGGACTCCCATAACCTGCTGGCTCGTCAGAGGAGGCCAGGTAGACACTCAGGAATTCCGAGGGCCTGGTGGGGATGGGGCACCACCCGGCGCAACGTCGGTGGGGAACGGAGCCTGGACCTCTGCCTCCGTATCATGAGCCAGCACGCCCTGCCCCACCAGCATGCTATCAAAAACCAGCCCAAATGGAGGTTTACGTAAGACCAGAGTCTCTGAACGTTACAAGAAAATGGACAAGTTTCCATAAAAATAACTTGTCAGCCAGGTGCAGTGGCTCACACCTATGATCCCAGCACTTCGGGAGGCAAAAGCAGGCAGATTAATTGAGTTCAAGAGTTCAAGACCAGCCTGGCCAATATGGTAAAACCCTATCTCTACTAAAAATGCAAAAATTAGCCAGGTATGGTGGCCCACACCTGTAGTCCCAGCTACTCAGGAGGCTGAGGCAGGAGAATCTGTTGAACCCGGGAAGTGGAGGTTGCAGTGAGCCAAGATTATACCATCGCACTCCAGCCTGGGTGGAGCAGTGACACTCCCTCTCAAAAAAATAAATAATATAAAAAATAAACAAAAGGCCGGGCTCAGTGGCTCATGCCTGTAACCCCAACATTTAGGGTGGCTGAGGTGGGTGGATCACGAGGTCAAGAGCGTGAGACCAGCCTGCCCAACATGGTGAAAACCCATCTCTGCTAAAACACTAAAAAGTTAGCTGCGCTTGGCAGCACGCACCCGTAATCCCAGCTACTTGGGAGGCTCAGGCAGGAAAATTGCTTGAACCTGGGAGGCAGAGGTTGCAGTGAGCCAAGATTGTGTCACTGTACTCCAGCCTGGGCAACACATCCAAGACTCTGTCTCTAAGTAAATAACTTTAAAATAAAATAAAAAACACTTAGGAACAACGAAGGCCAGGTGGGATGGTTCCAACCTGTAATCCCAGCACTTTGGGAGGCCAAGGTGGAAAGAGACTGCTTGAGCCCAGGAGTTCAAGGCCAGACTGGGCAACATAGTGAGACCCAGACTCTACAAAAAAAAATTTTAGGCTGCGTGCAATGGCTCACACCTGTAATCCCAAGCACTTTGGGAGGCTGAGGCAGGAGATTTGCAGGAGGCCAGGAGTTTGAGGGCGGACTAGCCAACATGGCGAAACCCTGTCTGTACTAAAATTATAGAAACTAGCTGGCTATGGTGGCACACACATGTAATCCCAGATACTCAGGAGGCTGAGGCAAAATTGCTTGAACCCAGGAGGCAGAAGTTGCAGTAAACCAAGATCACACCGCTGCCCTCACGCCTGGGTGGCAGAGTAAGATTCTGTCTCAAAAAAAAAAATTATTTTTAAATTAGCCAAGCACGGTGGCATGCACCTGTGGTCCCAACTAAGGTGGTTAGGGTGGGCGGATCTGGAGCCCAGGAGGTCAAGGCCGCAGTGAGCTGTACACTTCAGCCTGGGTGACACAGTGAGACGGTGTCTCAAAAAAAGAAAAGGGTGAGTGCGGTGGCTCATGCCTGTGATCCCAGCACTTGGGGAGGCTCAGGCGGTTGGATTACCAGGTCAAGAGATCGAGACCATCCTGACCAACATGGTGAAACACCGTCTCTACGAAAAAATACAAAAATTAGCGGGGCGTGGTGGCGCGCGCTTGTGGTCCCAGCTACTCGGGAGGGCGAGGGAAGAAATCACTCGAACCGGCAGGTGGAGGTGGCAGTGAGCTGAGACTGCGCCACTGCACTGCGGCCTGGAGACAGACTCCGTCTCAAAAAAAAGAAAAGAAATACGCCGAACTCAAAAGATCCTGGGTGGGCCACATGCTGTGATTCGTTTCAGAGCGTTTGAAATGCCGGCGTTCCATGACCGAGTGGTCAGCGGCGGGCTGGCGGCGCGGCTGTGAACGCCCAGGCGCGGAGGTCCGCCTGCGGGGCCGCCCTGTGCCCGCTCCGTGGCGGTCACCGCTGGGAGAAAGGCGGCGAGGGAGGGCAGGGGTCCCGGGCTGGAGGGCAGGGCGGCGACCTCAGCTACCGCTGCCTTGAGCTCGCGGGCTCAGGCCACCCTCCCGCCTCAGCCTCCCGAGTAGCTGGGGCCACAAACGCGCGCCCCCGCGGCGGGTTCGCACGATCCACGGGAATCGATGATCCAGGACTTCCATTGTGAAAGCTCGATCATCGTTAAAGGGCTGGAGCCGGGCAACCCTGCAGGCGGCCTGGCCTCGCTCCGGGTCATCCCAGTCCCAGGCCGGCCCGCGGCACTCACAGTACTTGATGACCGCGATGTTGACCGGCGCGGTACAGGTGACTACCGCCAGCGGCTCCTCAGAGGCCATGGTCCCACCGCCCGGCGTCCCCAGGCCCACAGAGCCGCACTACGCGGGATCCCACCCAGGGAACTCCGCCGCCCCACGCGCTGCCGCAAGATTGGCCGGTGCGAGCCCGGCCGTTCCCGTGCCGACCAATCAGCGGCGGGCCTGGCGCATGCTTTATCTCTCAACCAATGGGCAGGATCGGACGATGTGCCGCTGACGTTGAGCCCGCCCCAACCCCCGAACGCGCCCGCCGGGCCCTACGGGGGTGGTGTCTGCGCATGCGCCCTGTGCGCGGGGCGGGGTCTGCGGGCGCTGTGCGCGCAGGTGCGTGGCGTCGGCGCCGCTGAGTCTGGGTGCGGCTAGGCGGGCG